TTTATTAATAATTAAAGAAAAATTATTTTAGAGTCAAGATTAAAGAGTGTCCCATCAAATATTGTTCTTCCCAAATGAACGATTTATTGATATAATTTATTATTTAAATAAACTTCTGATTTTAGAAGATATTATATTTTAATTAGAGAACACTTTAGTCGAAAATTATAACATTATATGTAAGAAAATATCTTTCCTAAGCTCTTCTAGAATACATAGGATATTCGCATCATATATACCTATATCTAGTCGAGGTGGATCACAAAAACAAATTTTTTTTAATGGTAAAATTATTGCTTTCTTTAGTCGCGAGTCAAGAAACAAAATATTCAATAAATTTTAGCCAATTTGGTGACCAGGATTAGTCTATCTAACATAAACTTATTTTAAAGTATTGTTAATTATAAAAATAAAATAAAAAAAAATATATTGACTCGTTGGTAGCTTAATTTAAAATATATTACAGTTTGTATTTATTTAAATTAAAATGAAAATATATTTAATATGTACGAAAATTAATAAAATGTTTTAGATGATTCACGTTGATATCCTTTGTGTGTCGTTTACGTCCCCACAGTTCACAACAAAAGATAGAGATTGCTTCAGAAGATTCTCAGCACAAAAACGTTGCAAAAAAAAAATACGATCCAAAAGTCACAAGCGGACCCTGACTTCTTAAACATTAATTTTTTAGAATTGCTACATCCTCGGAAGAAAACATCGAAACAGCGTCGAAATTTTAAAATATTCATATTTTTTTAATAAATTTATTATAAAACAATTATTTAATTTAATATTTTATAATTTAATTAAATTAATTATTTAAGAATTCGGAATAAGTTTCAGAATATCATTTCGGAAGATTATTGGTTAAAATAATTTTTTTTCCCTTCATATGATTCTTATACTTTAAAATATTGTTTTTAGTTCATATATTTGTTTTGTCAATCCATTTTAGTTCAAGTTAATTTTTTTTATATTTTATATTCTTTTATATTTTTAATCTTTAGTCTTTGACGTTATTTTTCTTAACATTATCTTTTTTATATCGATAAAATAAAGTTATTGATTCAATTTTGTGTGTTTAACATAAAATTTATTTTACTAAAATTATTCTAAATTAAATCTATGGAGACTTTATAACTCTTTTATACTTTTATTTATAACGTTCATTGTTGAGATTTCATTTTTTATTTTTAGAAAATTGAAAATCTCTATTATGTTAACATAAAACAAAATATTACAAAAAAAATTTAATAATTGAAACTAAAATGATTACAAAATAAATAATATAGGAACTAAAAATATTTATTTTAAATTATAGGAACTAAAGAAGATTAAAAAGGATAAGTATAGACACTAAAAATATCTATTTAAAATTGTATGGAGTAAAAGATAAAGTAAGTGAAATTGGTAGAACTAAAAAGGATTCTAACCTTTTATATTTATTTTTCTTATAAGATGGAATAACTTCTTCTCACCAAATCAACTCATTTAAGAATAAAGTGATATCTCCAATAATAATTTCATGTTTAAAATAGATATGAACCTTTATTCATAATTAAGAAACATAAGTGTCAAAACATGTTGCCAATTTTTTATGTTTCTTATACAATTAAACTACAAGTTTGCAACTACTAGAGTTAGCCTAATGGTTAGGAGAATGGGTTGATGTATTTAGAAGCATGGGTGCCTTTTCTTTTTTGGTATAACTAGGAGGTATAATTATCTTTCACGTTGACTCATATTAAGATAAAGTGGTACCTCTAGTTATAACTTTACAAATAAGCATGGATCAACCTCACACCTTAATTAAGAATCACAAATGTCAAATTATTTGTGCTAACGATAAAACAAATCTTATTTAATACTTTTATCTTTTATGTTTATATAAATATTAACTCAAGACATTAAATAAGAGTATAATTAAAAGTATATTAATTACACTTTAAATTTTTAAGAGACCAATCATTTTTGGAGATTAGAAAAGAAAATTAAGAGATCTTTAACATTTATATGCACCTTTTTTCATATTTTTAAACAAATTTAAAGGTTATTTATTGTTAGTGTGAAAAATTTTACTTAATTAATCAATCAAAAGTCACTATTTGTATAACTTTTAAGGTAGTTATTATAAAAGTTAAAAAACTTATCTTTTATAGTATAAAATCATTAAATGACCATATAAAATTATTTTACAGTGTATATAACACTTTTAAACCATGTTTATATATGTTATTAGATAATAATATTTTGACGTAATTGTATTTTATGTTTCAAAGTTTCACTTTTTTGGAAAAATTTGCTCTCAAGATTTTTTTTCATGAATTTTTCCCAATTTTTGAGATTTTGGCGATTTATATCCTTTCATTAATTCTATCAGAATACTAATCGAGTATTGATGTGATATATTTGATGTAGATAAACTTGATGACGTAACATGTTTGACAAAGGCTTAATTACATTTTGTGTCTTTAACTTTTGCTTTTTGCCAAATTTTGCCCCTCAAGTATTTTTTTCTCATGATTTATGTCCCTAAACTTTTAGATTTTGATAATGTGTCTTCTCGTCAATTATTTATCAAAATACTAATATAATAATAGTCATTTGTGTCTTCTAATGTTATGTAAAATGATAATTTGATTTAATATAATTGTAACATTTGTATCTTCTAATGTTACGTAAAATGAAGATTTAACTTAATATGATTGTGACTTTTGTATATACCTTGCATTTTTCTTTACTTATTTAATTAGTTATGACTTTGTATTAAAGTGTTATTTGATTAATTAAATTAAAATTTAGTTGAAGTTATTGATCCTACTGCATCCATCTTATAAAAATAGGTTACTTTTAATTATGAAAAAGATAATTAGAGTGAGATTAATAAATTTAACTAAACTTTAATTTAATTAATTAAACAACACTCTAATATAAAGTCATAACAACACCTTATTATAAGAAATATCCAAAACGTAAAGTTAACAAAGATGACTACAACACTTGTGTCAATGTGTATAACTTTTAAGGTACTTATCGTAAAAACTAACAAATTTATCCTTTTTAGTGTATCATGATTGAATGACCTATAAAATTGTTTAACAATGGATATAAATCCATTAAACCCTTTTTTATAGAAGTAAAGGATAACACCTTCTTGAATGAGCTTCTCTTACAAGGTCTCTTGCCTTCAATAGAGAAGACTACACATATTGAAAGGATAAAATTAAGATATTCATTAAGTTTACCTAATACTACCTCTAGAACATCATCACAGGCGATGATGTGCTAGTAACTAAACTAGAAAGTGAGTAGAGTCGGGAATACTATAATATTCTATACCTCAACACAAAAGCAAGATACATACGTATTAGCTTATTTTTTGTCGAGAATAGAATACAACAAGTTTTACTACTGCAATACTACAAAAGAGATGTGGGAAGCCGACATGGTAACTCATGAAGGAACTGAAGATGTAAGGCTCAAAAGAGCTATAACTCTTTAAAGACATTATAAGTTGTTAACAATAAAGTAAAACAAAATCATTGGCAGGATGTTTGAAAGATTCCAAACCATTCTCAATAGGCTAAAATCTATGGAAACTAAGTTCTTTAAAGCTTAGAAGAACTTAAAGATCTTAGATAACCTTCCAAAGATCTTGGAGTCCAAGGTCACTACCATTTCAAAGATAGGCGACCTTAAGATTATGATGCTGGATGAACTCTTGGGGGCTTTGAGAGTTCATCAAGTTTAAGAATATGCTAATGAAGACTCAAAAACTTCCATAAGAAGAAGAACAAGTTCAAGAAGTTCATCAAGGAAATACATGTATTACTATTAATTTTATACTTAAACATGATTTGAGTCCATGCAAATATCATTTATTTTCTCTTACTTAAATAATACTCGAATTATATCTTATCTTTGATACTTTAATTAAAACTTCCAATCATTATTTTATTAATATTAATTATTGGATTAAAAATGTTTTACTTTACTCCTAAAAAATTATAAATCTAAAAATGACAAAAAAAAATTGCAAAAAACTAAAATAAAATAGAATTATATTTTCATTAACTTAAAACATATTTAAGCTTTACATAGATTCACTATTTGTACAACAACACTTTTCTATAGTTTTTCTGATGACAATTATATATATATATATATATATATATATATATGTAAATTTTAATTTTTCTTGTGAGAGTAAATATTTAAAATTAGATTATGAATAAATTCATGTTCCAAAAAAACAAATTACATGTGGCAAAAAAGATTACAAACAAATTAAACAAGTCAAGTTCGTTTTTTTTTCCTTAACATAAGGTTAAGTTTATATAAATAAATGAATCATGTTTGAGTAACTCTTTTTTTTTTCTCCATAAGACAAACCTAAAACTTTAGTGATCAAGATCTTTCCTGTACAAAAGTCTATAAATATATATAAAAAAAATATTATTATAATTATATTTTTAAAGTGTAAACATTCTTATTTATTGTATTTCTTAATTTATAATATCTGTATTATTTTATATGCATATTTTGTTTCTTTTCTTTTACTTTTTAAGCAGCCAAATAATCTACAAATTATCTCTCTCTCTACTCATTTCTTTTTGCCATTATTTCTTTTCATTTCTTTATTTCACTTTTTTTCTCTGAACCCACATACTTAAGATTATAATAATGGATTTAAAAAAGTTTAACCTACAACAAAAATCCCTTCACATATGTTCCCATAAGAAATTAAATGATTTTTCCCGTAAGAAATTAAATGATATTCTACTCTCATAGTTGATTCCTGAACGATCTAAATAATGCCGATATCTTATCTAACTTTTGGCGGTATCTTCCCCCGTCCGTTTGATTATTTTATATCAGGCAACAATCAACATGTCTAATTGTGGAAACATATATCCTCAAGTTAAGAGTTCTTGCTTAATTTAATAGTATTAAAAAACAAATTGTGGAAACATCAAGATCCACGTAAGCAAACGCGATTAGGTACATACAGTTCATGGTGCAAAAACATGTTTTCTTTGTGGTGTTGTTCTGTCAAGGGCCAGCTATGACTAGGGATACAATTAAAAGGGGTCAAGCTTAAGCATGTCAGTGTCTTAGAGCAATCATCTTGGCGCTGATCAACAACCCCTATCATTAGCAAACGTGGGTCATTTTGATTAGACATAAAGAGAGTGAAAATAAAAACATATATCAGTTTCCACTGTCAATCATCTTCTTGTGTATATATATGCACTATGGAATGAGGGTTTAGTTTGTTTCTGTTAAAGTTGGTTTTGTTGATTGAAGAGTGATGTCTTTGTTTGGTGTTTATTCCATCAGCGAAGTTGGCAAGGATGTTGCTGGAGTTGCTGGTATGTTCTCTCTCTTTCAGTTTCTGGGGTGTTTTATTCTCTTCACAAAGATTTAGAATTAAATAAAAGGAAACTTTTTTGGGATTTTAATTGATGAAGCAAAGAACCCATTTTATAAATACCATGAACTGGAGTTGCCTATCTTGATTTTGCTCTGAATTTGCAGGGAACATCTTTGCTTTTGGGTTGTTTATATCCCCCATGTAAGTTTCTCAAAAATGGATTTTTTTTTTTACAATAATTGAGGTAAGAAGAGTTTGTTGTTTATTTTATCCTTTCATTGATACTGAGTAATAACTCTTGTATTTTTTTTGTTTGATTTCTAGACCAACATTTAGGAGAATTATCAGAAATGGGTCAACAGAAATGTTCTCAGGGTTGCCATATTTTTACTCTCTCTTGAACTGCTTGATCTGTTTGTGGTATGGCACACCTCTGATATCACCTGACAATTTGTTGGTAACAACTGTTAATTCAATTGGAGCAGCCTTTCAACTTGTGTACATAATCCTCTTCTTGATGTATGCTGAGAAAGCAAGAAAGGTTAATCTTTTGATATGCTATTATAAGCTTATGATTTATGATAACTTTTTAAGAAAGTGAATTATGAATCTAATTCAACTTTACAAAACCAATATATAAAAAGGTGAGGATTGCACCTAATGTCGAGGACCACACATCTCAAACGTGAGGTTTCCAAGACTAAATATTTGCGGTTGTCTAATAATGACTCGATAGCAAGGTAACATGATAAGATTAACAACGATCAATAATCGTTAAGATAGTGTATGATCTAAAGTATATAAGTAAGATGTGATCTTCATCTTATAAGCTGGTTTTATAAAATTGATTTAGGCTCGTGTCCCACTTACAATGATATTAAAGTCCATATCATTAGTTGATGTGAAATTTTTAACATAATTGCATAAAGCACATTAGTTCATTTCTAAGCTGTTGTATACTATAAACTGTCATTGACAGGTGAGAATGATTGGATTACTGATAGCAATTTTGGGCATATTTGCCATCATACTAGTTGGGAGCTTGCAAATTGATGACACTGTGATACGCCGAGTGTTTGTGGGATTCTTGAGTTGTGCTTCTCTCATTTCAATGTTTGCCTCTCCATTGTTTATAATTGTATGCTTGTCATTTCCTAGATATTCATCCATTTAACAGTTTCCGCATCTGTTAGCTTGGTCAATTTGTTTACATGTTTTGTCTATGTAACTGCTCAGAAATTGGTTATTCGGACAAAAAGTGTTGAGTTTATGCCGTTTTATCTTTCACTTTCGACCTTCCTGATGAGCACCTCCTTCTTTCTTTATGGGTTGATCAGTGATGATGCCTTCATTTATGTGAGAGTCCTTTCAGCTCATCTCTTTCTTATTTGAAGTACTCATTTTAGTTTCAAATCTTTATTTTGTTGGCTAATATATGTAATATACCTGTGTCTGTGTTTGCTCTTGTAGATACCAAATGGGATAGGAACTGTTTTAGGAATCATACAACTGATATTATATTTCTATTACAAGAGTCCATCCGGTGAAGACTGCACAGAACCCTTGGTAGTGTCATATGAATGATCCATGCTGCCGAGTGCTGGCAAAGTCAAGGTATAGGCAAATACACAATTTGTGATTAAAATTTATGGTCTTCACATCAGCGTGAGGTGGTTCTCTGAAATTGGTAGCTACTAGCTGTCATTCTTTATGTATGAAATGTTTTCCATGAGTTGAAGAAATAAATTTATGGTTTTGATTTGATTATGAAGTTTCTCCATACAATTCATGGAGATGTTTGGTTTGAACCTTTTCACAATATTTCAATTCCATTTCTGGCATTGTCTTGTCAGCTTTTAATTGTCACTATGTAACAAATGATGCTTTTCTTGAAATGGGAAGATGGAATTTATTTTCTTCAGGTATTCTATCTCTTCTGTACCAGTTAAGTGATAATTCTGTTATCTTTCACTATACATCAATTTCTGAGGATCATCGACCACAATATTTATCCATATTTGAGAAAAGTTAAAAACGATTTACCTTTCATTTTTTAGACTCTGATCAAGTTTTTGAGTGCTGTCATTATTTTATACTATAGTTTGCATGCATTTGAATTATTGGTTGTCTGAGCTATCTCTCCTCGATTAACCTACCCGATATATCTTATCACATTTAACTAATTTTTCCACATTCTGTGTTTGTGGGTTGGGGCTCAGTTCCTGGTCTAATAGGCACAACCCCTTGTTGCAGAATGAGCAACGGGGGCAAATCTAGAATGTAAGAACTATAAACGTAAGTCATGTAACGGCACATGGACGGTTAAGATTAAAAAATAGTTAATAATGATATAACTATTTAAAATTATGTACAGTTATCTTTTAATCCTAATCAAATACATGATCTAATAAAACAAAATCTATATTTATTATTCTTGTTTGTTAAGATAACCAAAAATTCTCAGATATGCTCCTATTCTAGAATTGTACCTTAACGCTATGGTAATGTACAATGTATTGCAAAATTCCATGTAAGCATATATTATGCAGTTAAAATGTTGATAAGAATAAGGTTTGGAGACCAAAAGGAAACACCGTAAAAGAATAGCGTTTAAGATTTGACTATATTCATAAAAATAGGATTTCCCTATTAATCAATTTTTAAATTAGCTAAAAAAATTATAGATGACCTCCAAGTTCATAGCATGTTAGTTAAATTCATTACCAATTTGTGTTTGTTTCCATATTTCTATGATAGACATGAATTTCCTTTATGCTCTTTACATTGTTTTCTTTGGCTGCTGCAGCTTTCTGATGCGTCATTTAACAATAATAGAAAAAGAGAAGGAAATATGTCATCCACTTTGGAAACTATTGCCATTGAAATGTAAAATGCATTATTCAATTCTTGGGAAAACTGCAATTTTATGAAACGATGAGTGCATATTTGAACTGATCACATCATGTCATTTCTGTGAAACCTCGTTGTCTGTCTGATACAACGTACAAGAGAAAGAAAAACCCAGTAACATAAGAGTACTAAAGTAAATCTTTTAGAGTAGTTCTCATTGTAACATTTCCTTTTTCCTGCACAAAACAAAAGCAAAGTTAGAAATAAACAAAAGCAGACAAATGTTGCTTGTAGCCGCAACATTCCTGTGAATCACAAGCTGTGATTCAATATCTTGGAGCAAATACTGTTGCATCCTAGAGAGTTACAAGAAGTTGGGATTGTGGAAGAAAGTTCAAACATTTTTTGTGTTTGTGTACATTTATAAATTTGTGCTGCGCTTCAAAAACACACTATTGCAAGATATTCATGTTGCACCATTCCTGCTGTTATG